TGTACCATAAATTAGACCTGAAACTGAACCATAGATTAGACCTGAAACTGAACCACAGATTAGACCTGAAACTGAACCATAAATTAGACCTGAAACTGTACCATAAATTAGACCTGAAACTGAACCATAGATTAGACCTGAAACTGAACCACAGATTAGACCTGAAACTGAACCATAAATTAGACCTGAAACTGGATTCTAGATTAGACCTGAAACTGGCCCACAGATTAGAAATGAAACTGAACCACAGATTAGACCTGAAACTGGATTCTAGATTAGACCTGAAACTGGCCCACAGATTAGAAATGAAACTGAACCACAGATTAGACCTGAAACTGAACCACAGATTAGACCTGAAACTGAACCATAAATTAGACCTGAAACTGGATTCTAGATTAGACCTGAAATCTGCCCACAGATTAGAAATGAAACTGAACCATAAATTAGACCTGAAACTGGATTCTAGATTAGACCTAAAACTGGCCCACAGATTATAAATGAAACTGAACCACAGATTAGAACTGAAACTGGATTCTAGATTAGACCTAAAACTGGCCCACAGATTAGAAATGAAACTGAACCACAGATTAGAACTGAAACTGGATTCTAGATTAGACCTAAAACTGGCCCACAGATTAGAAATGAAATTGAACCATAGATTAGAACTGAAACGGGTCCACTGATATTTTGACCGGTGCATAGACTTCATGCAGGTAGGGCAAAAAGAAAGATGGGAAAGTTTAAGACCAGCTGATGAACAGCCTGTTTCCTTTTAATACTTGTTTGTAACAAAATGCTTATTCAGGTGTTTTTTTTTCCACTTCCATTTCTTCTTTATGCATTTAACTTAGAACCTTCTTAAGATCCAAYGGTGCAAAATGTGAATTTTTGCCATTTTTTTAACTGGTCTTTACTCTTATCATTCTGATCAGGAGTGTATTTGTAAATCTCATTCTGATGGAGTCACCAGTCATGCAGCTCACCACACCTGATCAAAGAGCTGATCAGAGTCTCCTCTTGTTAAATGGTTTCTACTTTTACAGACGCCACCCATCGATGGTGGTTTACTGACATATAATGCCAGGTAATTATTGGTCTGTGTAACGTCATGGTTCTGTCTGAACATTAAGCAAAGTCTTTAAGTATGCTYGACATTAATATAAAACTGTTAGTAATTCTTGTTTTTTTTTTACATTTAATCTAAACACTTGGCCACTATTTGAAGCCTGGTGATGAATGGAGACCCAGCAGAGCAGAACAGAAGGGGAAGTTAGCCGAGCGTCCTCATTGGCCACAGCAGAGCAGTATTGATCTTCAATGAGTTGGACTGAAGAACCAAACCCAAGCTAAATRGACAAAGCTGCTCACATTGATTATGGTGATTAATTGATTGACGACAGTTTGTTATAGATTTCATGTCAAAGCTAAGTATTCAGCCAATCTGTGCAGGCTCAAACAAAGCAACGCTGCAGAGTCGGACCTCTGTGGTTTACAGAGCACAGGTCTAAATGTGCCACACAGATGGTTGGAGAGCTGCTGCTGGGACTTAGGTTCAAACCCAGCAGCATCATAATTACAGCGGGTAAAATAAATATTGAACACGTCACCATTTTTCTCAGTAAATATATTACTAGAGGTGCTAATGACATGAAATTTTCACCAGATGTTGGTAACAACCCAAGTGATCCATAC